ATTAATTAAAGTGGACCTATTGTGCTCCATCTTCATATTTTCATTCTTGGACTCTAGAGCAGGTTTGCATTATGAAAATACCCCTCATTTATCTGACATCTGTCTGAAACAAGGCTGTTTATCACCATGCCAACGGGAAATTCAGGTTAAAGAAGAAGCCATATGTGAATCTGATCCAGACTGAAGCAATGTGGAAAACAGTTCTGTGCTCAGACAAATCTAAATTTGAAATATTTACAGTAAAACTGGACAGTGCATCCTCTGGACTGAAGACGCGAGGGACCATCTGGATCAGTGCTCATTTCAAAAGTTTGCACCTCTGATGACACAGGAGGTGCATTAGTAGAATCGGCAACTTGCATATATGAAAAGGCACCAATAATGCTGAAAGGGATGCAGAGATTTTAGAGTAACATATGCTCCCATCCTTACAATGTCTCTTATAAGCGAGGCCTTACATACTTCAGCAAGACAATCCTAAAAAGCATACTACATCTATTACAACAGCAAGGCTTTGAAGTTGAAGAATCCAGGTGCTGATCTGGGCTTTCTGCAGTCCAGATCTTTCACCGAATTGAAAGCATTTTGAACATTATGAAATTGAAAATATAACAAAGCAGATCTAGGATTGATCAATAGCTAGAATGTATTGGACACGTATGGGGCAAATGCCCCGGAGTCCAGCCAGCAGACGTCTCCTCAGTTCACAGACTGTTGTTAAAAGAAGAGGCGATGCTAGAGAGTGATAAATTAGTTATTTCCCAACTTTTCGGAGCTGTGTTGCTACCATCTTTTCCAAAATGATTGTATGTTTTTGTAACGACGCATTTTCTCACTTTAAACATTTAATCTGTTTCCTAATTTCTATTGCAAATATAATATGGGTTTATGAGGTTTTCAAATCATTGCATTCTCATTTACATTGTAAAATGTGTCCCAGCTTTTTTGAAGGTTGAAGATATTTTACACCTGGCTACCAACTGCTTGAAACCACAGTGCACCATCAGGCTGTGACAGTGTTGCATTATAATCTGTAGCCTGAGGAGGCATCCCTTAACAGGTTTATGCATTAATCTGCATTAGGTGCTCATGTAACCCTCCACAGAAGGAACCATACGAAATGCAATGACAACAGACAGGTCACACTAATAATACTGCAGGCCTCTGCTGCTCATGTATTCACTCCAGTGTTTGTGAAATGCAAAAGGTTAATTATTCACAAACAGCCTAGCTAAGCTAAAGGCTTCCTAGCAGACAGAACAAACCAGTTCAGCTTTAATAACCTTTATAATCTATGAGTCCTTTCTGATAAATAAAGAAATGCAGACATAACCTAAAGATAAATCCTGCAGGATTTTATCTGCCATCCAAATCTGCAATATTAACCTGCCAGGAGAAAATTAATCGATTTGACTACCTGCACATTTGTAATGTGCTGCAGCAGAGACTATTAAAATTGGCCTTGTTGTCATGGTTACCAGTTCAAAATGATGCCATGGTCACATTCCATTTCAGATGATTTTTTTTTAAGAATGACAAATAGTTGACGTCTTCTTTAATCAGAAGAGAAGGCACATAGGTCAGCAGTAAAAAGGCCCTTTCATGATGGAAGTGTCACGTTTGATGACAGATCACTCCACATAATTAGCACAGTTGCTAGGCTAGAGTTATTTCACCACGGAGATGAGCTACACAGAAAAATAGTTTTAAATGCCAGGCAGTTTTCAGTACGACCAAGGATTTATCTCTTAATATTCTTTAAACCCTATATATTCCAACTGACTAACTGGACTAGATTTATTTATTTTTTAAGTGGACCTATTCTGTTCATTTTCAGCTCAATATGTTTTATTCTTGGACTTGTATTCGTGTAGCTTTGGACAATTCACATGTGAAAATAATCCTTATTATCTCATACTGGGCTTTGGTGCAGTTAACCCTCTGTTTGAAACAAACTGTTTTCGCTGCTCTCCCCTAGAGGCCACCTTTCCTTTAAGCCAGCTCAAACAAAAGATTTGAGCAGCAGGTGGGTGGAACTCTGTGCCAGAAATCTCTGTAGTAGGGATATCCTGTCTCGTTGATATCCTACAGATCCAGAAGAAAAAAAGAAAGTAGGAAAACATGTTAAGAATGAGTTGAAGGACGATGTTTTGACTCACTTTGGCAGAGTTTAATATGAGGAGCAGTTATAAATAAAAATTAGGCTCATATTAAGTTTACTGTGGGGCACATTTCTGTATAATAGGTTGCTCAGTGTCCACCTTAATCGGTGTTTACAGAGCTTTAAATATTTGCAAATATACATTTTTACTTTTATTCAAGCCTCAAATATGTCAAGTTTACCAGGCTAGTCTTAAGAATTGGCAACACATGTGAATGTGAATATGCTGACTCACTGCTGCTTCCTGTGTAGAGTCTGCATATTCTTCCTGTGCCTGACAAGTTCATTCCAGCTGCTTGCACCTTTCCAACAGTCATGCATGCAAGCTTGATTGATTATTCCAAACTGGTCGTGAATAGTTGTTTGTTACTCTGTGTTAGCCCTATATTAACAAATAATCTCTCCAGGGTGTACCCTACTGCCTAAAGTCAGTTGGATTGGGCCCCACTCTCTCTTGGATCCTACTGCACAAAATATGAAAATCGATATATCCTGATATGGTAAATTAATATGCAAATCAATTGGAACATTGCTAATGGATACATTATACACAGAGAAAGGACAGGAAACTTAACAAAGTTAATTCATTGCATTAACCCTTTCACGCATAGTGGTCATGACTCAAAGGCTGTTTTCTTGTATTTGTGCCAGTGTTGATGGTATACTTGCACATAAACCACGACACTGGACACTGATGTGTCACTTCATACCAAATTCAGTCAAAATGTGTGTTGTCCACCTAAGTAGACATGTAAAAACCTCTTTGAAAAGTCCATGATTAAAAAAGTGAAGTTCAAAAATCTTTTTGTCATGCCTAAAGATGAATAAAAATACTTAAGAAAGAAATCCTATTGAGGTTGTCATAATTCATGCATGAAAGGGTTGCAGGAAAAATCAAATATTCTGATAATAATTGCAGAAAGTTATGCTCATCCATTTGGTCTTTGCATAAATGTTCATTTTCAAGGTTAGCAGGTGTATTTTGGAATTCTTGCATTGTTTTCTGTTACTCAGTTCCCTCACCAAAGTTCTTCTTCAAGTGAGATAGACCCCTAAGATAGATCTTTGAAGGGCGTTTTAAAGCATGATCTAAACATCATCTACATTAAGTGAATTGCAATGGTCACCGGGAAATAAAGACTGCAGGAATGTACATCTTCTGTAAAACCATCTTCAAATACAAAAAAGAAGGAAGAAGCACGAATCTGATTAAATTGTTCCCAGCTCATTTACTCGGATATTACCATCATTATCATTTACCTGCAACAACAAATTCTGAAATAAATTTCATAAAATACTTTTAATTGTGATACTTTTCAGTAGCTTTTCAATTCCCAACACATTATGCAGTAGTTGTTGACAAAGACTGATAAAACAGCGACTCATGTCGCCTTACATCATTCAGTGTGAACTTTTTAATCCCCGCAACAGGGATTATCCAAGACTATGTCATTAAAGGGATGTAAAACAAAGCTCCCCATTCTCTTCACAGGTGCAACAAAGTACCTTACACCACCTCAGGCGCTTAAGATCCATTGCAGCTAAATTAATGGTCAATGGGATTACAATAAATGGATCAAGGAATCTGTGCTCAGAGCTATATTTACACAGCTCCCATGTGGGAAAAAGTCATATAAGCAGATACATCTTAAAAAGATCCAGCAAATGTTACCAGGATTTGAATCCAAACAAGCATGAGTAAAGTGTTTTGCAAGTTATTTTAATCATTGCTTAATATATTAAGTGCTTACATAACCTTAGATTAAATACAAGTGAGTGCTTGCAGAAAACTAGCGACCCGTGTGTGACATTTGCACTCAAATTTACAGAAAGCAATTATTTGCTTTCTGTAACTACTCCAAAAAAAGATGTTTCTTTGTGAAAAGTATTACATAATGCATATTGTTAACATGATCTTCACTGTAAAAAATGTGGGCAGTATACCTGTAATGATGATGATGAGCTGCAATTATTCACTTTTATGTATCAATTCAAAACATCTGACATTGTGTTCATCCTCCGCACTTCCTCCGTGAGATCACAAGGTCTGATAAATATTCCGTTAGCAAACAAACGCGCACTTGTTAATTAACTCAGTAACAACCTTCATTTATATCTGACTTGATGTTGCCCATAAACACTTTTTTAAGGAAAGAAGACCTTAAAATGTACTTGTTAGACATGAATGTGACGCTGCAAAGCTGGTTGTTGCTCACACTGACTAAGGTTTCCCTGCACTTCCAAGTTCTTCTGATAGTTTAGGTGATTATATTTATTTATTCGTTTCAATAAAATTACGATTTGGGACTTTCGCTGCATTTTATTTTACTGACTTGTGGACCTTAATAGGAAGGAGCGTCTTCACTACTTAAATCTTAATCAAGGCCAAGTATGCACCCTAGAGCAGCGGTCCCCAACCTTTTTTGCACCACGGACCGGTTTGTGCCCAACAATATATTTTCACGGACCGGCCTTCAAGGTTTCGTGGATAAATACAACAAAATAAAACTAGTATCGGTACCGAAAAAAAGAAGATTTATTCATAACACACGTGAAAAGATCCATTCAAACCGAGTTAACGAAAAAACGATAACAAAATAACGCTTAAAAACCGATAAAAACCCTGAAAATCATACATTTCACACCCGAGTCTCACGGCCCGGTACCAAATGACTCCGGTCCGTGGCCCGGGGGTTGGGGACCGCTGCCCTACAGGATAGCAATTAGAATAACAGGCGAGGTCAAGCCTTTATGGCAACACCTTACATATTATGAGTTAGTATTAGTTATACTGCACAGTGCTTCAATATAAGACTAAATGCATAAATAAACAAAAACGACAAAGTGCATGTACTTTATTTGATATGCTGTGAATGGCTGTCCAGATAGCACAAAATGGCAGCAGGACAATGACTAAATAAGGCTCCTTTTCACTTATACAAGAAACGGTCTTTGTTTAGATTTTGGCCATTCATCCTGCACAATGACAGGAATACCTACAAATAATAAATATTGGTTTTTATAAATAGATAAATCTGTCCATATTTGCCCCCCCCCCCCCCCCCAATTACCCCGAATTAACTACATCCACTAATAAAGTGCAGCCAACTTTTGAAGACTATCACTGGAAAACTAACTCTGACCCGAAAGGACTGAACAATCAACCCCTGAGATTAACTATCCAATGTGCTTGCAGGACAGGACACGGTGAACAGCTGTAAGTGCTACAAAACATCAACATCGACAAAAAGAAATGAAAAACAAAGTTTGAATATTTGTAATGTTTAAATGTCACTTAGTTTTTCTTTTTTTTCTTTACAATCCCATCACATTTATGTAATACAAATACTAAAGATAGAATTAGGATATCATGTGTTTGTGTACAGTAGCACTCCCCATGATGAAACAAGTAAAATCAACATGAACATCTATTTTCAAAAACACCAGCTGTCCTGTATTATCAGCCTAGAACTATCTCTAAGGAGACAAAGTCAGGTACAGCAGCTTTCCAGCCACTGTGATTTCATACTGCTCTATCTTGGCTCAGTGCTAAAGTCACATATCTGACAGTAAATCAGGCCAAGTCCCAGGCTGGTCACTGATCATCATTCGTGTGATAGATGTTCAATAGTTCAGTATACACTAAAGATAATTTTTCCTATGCGGCTATGTTGCTATGACCCCAATATGGCAGGCAGACTTTAGCTGCACAGACTCTGGGCATGTCAACTGAAAGACTCAGATCTCCAGGCTTATGTCTCCCTCTAGGGGGTGGATTGCAACTGACACTCTCTGAGCCTCCGGGCTCACAAGCCTGAACTAAATCCTATCCGCTGACTGAGTGCTTGTGGTGTGTTACTTTCCATAACGAAGCTCGATCATCTTTGGCTTTTCAAATGTACATTTCAGGTTTCAAGTCTGAAAGCAGCGAGTCTCACACACAGAAGATGTGAAATAATCACCAGCGCGGGACATGCAGGTTCACCCTACGCCCAGTGAACCTGAGATCCTCCCTTTGATTGCCGTTTGGCCTCCATGATGCAGAAAGCTTCTTGCTCCTCGCTTATTTCCTTCTGCCTCTTCTCGTCCAGAAACGATACCAGAGAGTCCCTCATGTCCACCACTTCGATCATCTCCTGAAGGATTCGCTCTTCTTCTGCCTGCTGCTCTGATGTCTTATCTGGAAAACGAAAACATATGCACACACCCAATTCTAATTAATAACAGACACAAACATCAAGTCTAAGCTGAATAGTGGTTCTTGCAAGTAAACTCTCGTCCTCTCACTAATTAGGGGGAAAAAATGGATAATTGGTACTGTACCCCTCCCTTCCCAACATCTGCTGACTATGATGCAAAAACCTTTCTGAGTAGAAAGGCTGCCAGACTTGCCAGGAATGTATTTTTATTTTTCCATAGAAGCAAAAGGCCCCTTAGTGAGTCATTTCAAACTTTCAAACAGTTAGATTGCCAAGGCCAAGGTTTGTACTTTTTTATAGTCCCTTCAGTTATTCCTCTCCTGTCCATACTTGCCATGAGGAGAAAACATTTCCAACTAAATATCTATTCATTGCCCTCTTTCAGTGGAAGAACACATTCCATACATTTCACCTAAATCTAATTAAAGCTTAAGCAGACTGGAAATTATCTACTTGATATGTCTGACTCGAAATGCTGAGCCCATTATTGCACTGTTGAAAGTGCTTCAAAGGCAATCTGTGGCCTGTTTGGGCCAAACCGGGGACTCTTTGACCTTTGTTTGATGTTTTCTGGAAATAAAGGCTAATATGAACTTCCTGCTCAGTGCACCAGTCTGTGTTAATTAATTGTAATATATTTAAAAATTCTCATCAGGTAATAGATGATGATTATGGGACTGCATTTTGGCATGTGCATCCCTGTTTTTTTGCTCTTTAAATGGACTGTTTACCTCCATGCAACCAAAACCTGACTAAATGTGATTAGACTAAAAACAGAAGCCGAATGCTTCTGGTGCCAGAAGTCTTATCTCTTGCCAAAAGATTCTGCATATTCATATATTCTTATATTCAGTTATTTGTTTGCAGAAAATGGTCAAAATTTGTTTTACTGCACAATACACTACCTGGAAACCCCAGGGGAAACATTATGAACGGGCATAAGTAACTAGTTTAGTGGCATTAATGCTGGAAGAAATTATGGTCAATAAATAATCATATGATATGTAATTTAGTAAAAGAAAAAAACATGGTCCAGTAGTGTATAGTGTCCTACAAAATGCAGGACATTGCTATATGCAGAACTGAGTTAATGGGACAACAACAAACGTGGCAAAGACAAAGAAAGCATTGATGTGCTCATTAGTAGGACAAACATGCACTGCAGTACGGGCCTTGCTCGGCCTGGTGCCTGTTTAGAAGTTAGGCTCCTCCCTTTAACTACATCAAAGACACTTTTAGTTACAAGTCTTTCTGTGTGCACACCAAAGTACACACCATTTATCTCCATGTATTTCCTGAGCTCCAGCTCCAACATGCTCTGCTTGTCTTCGAGTTCCAGCTGTCGAGACCTGCAAGAGAAACAAGCATCAGCTGAGTCCTGTCAGTAGTAACGCTGTATGTTATCATGAGGACCGACAACAAACGACATTTCACTGTAAAAAAAAAAAGACTGGCTTTTAGCATTGTGAGGTCAGCCAGTCACCGCAGTGTTTTGATGTGAGATCTGCTCCGTCTACCATGTCACTTGTATACAGATGCTCTGTTGTATTACTTGTATGACTAGACAAACTTTTACTCCATGAAATAAAGAATGAACCAGTGAGGCTGCAGACTTACGCCACCATGAGTTCAGACTCCTCGGAAACCAATGCATTCTTTTCATGAACGAGCTGGATCCACTGTTCGATCATATCAGGAGAACCGCTGCGTTCTGCAAGGAAAAAATGGTGCATATTTTCTTTAAGAAAACAGGAAGATGTGCTTTTTTTGGGTGGGGTGGGTTCTCAATAAAGTGGTGAGGAGGAACCAGATTTATTTGCAGCATCTGACACAGCACCCATGTGAGTGTTTGTCTACAAGCCCACACGCTAACTTGTATAAGGATTCCAAGAGGCTGTAATAAAAAGAATTCAGCTGACCTACAAATTTAGGGCTAGATTTACTAAACAGACCAAAATAGCATAGGAATGCAATCCCCAAATAGCGCTCATACGTGTGGTTTACAAAAGTTTCACGGCTTTCTAAACAGAGATGCAGTCAGTTCATTTTTATATCAAGGGCAGATAATCAGACCTGCTGGTTTGTTTAGTGTTAAATATCGCCGTAGTTTGAAGTAAATGGTGTGTTGCAAATCTCAGTAATCTCAGTTTGTGCATTTGGTTCGTATAAAATACTGCTAAAAAGTCGATTGAAAATACAGATTCTAGCTGTTCAACAGTCCTGGGTCTTCTATCTCATATTTTTGTGTCATCATGTGCCGAATGTTTTCAGCTGGTGAGAGCTCTAGACTGCAGGCAGACCAGTTCAGCACCTGGACTCTTCTACTACAAAGCTATGTTGTTGTAAAAGCTGTCGTAAAAGCTCACAACAGCACATTCTCATGCTAAAGCATGCAACATGCATAGACAACTTTCAGTACTGATGCCGTCTTTCCGGATGTGCGAGCTGCTAATTCCATAGAGAACATACCATTAGAGAGGCATGCTTTTAAAGTGAAAGCTGCTAACAAACTGGATGTTTGACTCTCCTCTTTAGTCCAGAGGACACACATCATTCCCACAAACAATTTCAAATTTATCGATCTTCCTCAACTATGAATCTTTATTTATGTGGAAGCATACACTTTTAGAATGACTTTATACTTCCAAAATAAGCTTTTTTTCCATCGCAAATGTCCAGAGATATAGAACAATACACCCCAAGTTCTTTAAATATGTATAAAAAAAGAAGATCTGATCTTACCAGCCTCTCCTCGCAGTGTCCGCTCCAGAGTCACACCTTTGTCCTCCAGGTCTTTGTAGGTCACCTCAATCTCCTCCAGTCTTCTCTGGATAGACTGTGAAACACAAAATCAAAAAGTACATCTTGACAAATATTTTAATGAAATTGCTTTAATTTCTTGAAATAGGCTTTGGTGACAAATCTGAATTCCATATAGGGCAGATATATAAAAAAAAAAAAAACATGCAATTGAGCCAATTCTTGTAAAATGGATATGGATGAGTTACACTCAAGGGTTCACCCAGCTTCGTGGCATTGCTCGATGGGGTGTGAAGACAGATGATTGACAAGTACACTCCCTCTCCTGCATACTCTAATAACTGTGCAAACACTGAGGCGCACCTGATTGGATGAATGCCTCTGAAGCAGATGAATGGGCTGTCTGCTTCTGAATTTTAAACGTAAACCAACACAGTGACTCATCTGCAAACTTTCTTTAATATTAAGAACAATTTTCTGCAAAAATTTGTTTCTCTTAACATTTTAGGTGGGATTAACAGCTGATTACAGGCTGATGAATTTGTCTCCACTATAGATTGCCAACTGCTAGCTGTGTTGTGATTTGCATGTGTTTGCATTTACTGGATTTCAATTTTATGCAAACTGTATGACTGGCTGCAGCAAAAATGACTAGTAAGCATGGATTCACATAACTTTACAGATGATAAAAACATATCTTAGAAATGACATAAATTACAATATTGTATAATAATAATAATAATATATAATTATGTGCATATTCATTGCTCCACTAAGTGAAGTTGTAGAAAAACGGACCAGGAATGAGTTTTAGATCACTCACCTGAGCTTTGCGGAATCGCTGTAATTCACTCATCCTGGCTCGCCGCTCCAACGTCTTCATCTTCTTAAACTCCAGCTTCTCTGCCTCCACGGGGTCTGATGGCACACTCTGAAACTAGAGGTAAAGTAATAGTACAGTTAGTGCAAAATATCCTCCCCCTGAAAAACTGAAACAAATGAACTCTACCGATATCCTTACTTGGTCATCAAACAAGTCAATGTCTTGTTCATCATCGTCCTCATCATCATCGTCCTCATCTCCTTCGACGCCCTCTTCTGAGGTGTGGTGGACATGTCTGAATGTTGTTTCTGTGGGAAAAAGTAAGAGTAAGTGTTGCAATAAGCCTGGATGACTCCAGATTGAGCTAAAACCAAAGAGATGAGTTGCCAGCTTACCCACTCTCCCCGGCTGATTAACGTGGACACTCAGCCGGGTGTCTCTGCTGATCCTTGGTGAAGAGAGATTCCACGGAGAAAACTTTGATCGCACTCTGGCCTGCCCACTTGGCATCTCTTTTCTTCTGAAGCAGCGTCGATTCCTCTTCTCCCGCATTTGCCCAGCAGTGCTCCCACTCCAGTAGCCCTCCTCTTCTTGCCCATCCAGGCCCTCTGTTTTAGGAGGCCCTGCATTAGCTGAGGAAGAGGAGCAGGAGGAGGATCCGCCATGGGTTTCTGAATCCGAGTCTGCGCTGAAGCTGTGAAGATTCACCAGCTGGGTTTTTTCCTCAGCGGTCAACTGAAGCTTCCGCAGTGACTGTTTAGGACGGGAGTCTGGTCTTGCTTTAGAGCCCTCCTCTGTGGGAGTCGGAGATGAAGGTTCTTCTGGGACGGTGAGGCTGATGAGGTGGACTGTGCGAGGCTTTGCTACTGGGGGAGAGGGCTGATGGCTGGGAGTAGTCTGCCGAGAGCGACGGGGCTTTGGAACTGGACACGGAGTCATTTTTTTTGTCTCCTCCGCCTCTTTAATGGCTGCTGCTACCTCAGATTTAGGTGGATGGTCTATGGGAGTTTTTGATACAAGTGGTTCTTGGGAGTCTTCTTTTGACTCATATATGCGGTGGTCCTTTTCTTCAGATGTTTGTGATTGTGTGTGAGTAGGAGGACCACAGTCCAGGGTGTTTTCATACTCCTCATCTGACGGCGATGGAGTATATTCATCACTGGAAACTCCGTTTCCTTCTTCTGTCTCTCTCTGAGTTCCTTTGCTTTCCTAAATTGATAAAAAGCATGAAAAACATGTTTAATTTAAATTAGCCCACAGACTATATACAAATTAGTTAAGTTTATTTAACTATATATTAACAAATTATTTTAGAGATTTGAAATGAAAGAAGATGCAATTGTAGTTTCAATAACTCAGATGTACAGTAGTTTTCGGGTCATAAGCCGCTACTTTTTCCCACACTGTGAACACTGACTGCGGCTAATGCACATTTTGTTTCATGCCGCCAAAAACATTTTGCCTGGTAACAGTAGACCAATCAAAATGATAAGTAGTGTATATATTTTTATCGGTTGTTAAGAGACGTTGTAATGTTGTTTGTGCATTGTTCTGTAAAAAAACCATAAGCAATGTAATTTGTGTGTTACTGATACGTACGTATACTTAAAGGTAGCCGTGTTACAGGCGCTGTTCGAGGAAAAAAAAAGCATTTGCAGTATGTATTTTTGTATGTTACCATAACGTTTATGTTACCATGTTTATGTTACCTTACGGATTAAAAATACTCACGTGTAGCATTTCTGTGTAAATATCTCATATTACAGGTGAAACGCCTTACGGCTTAAAATCCGGTGCGGCCTGTAGTCCAGGATTTACGGTAATTAAAAGGATTAACAAAAATATTGCATCAACTGTTGAGTGACTGCAGCCATTTTTAAATATATATAAATGTATATATTTAATGTGATGTTACATGAAATATTAGGACTGTCTTTAGTTCAATTGTGTGCATGCCCCCCTAGTTGTATCTTGCGAGACAGGAAAATGAAATGAAAGAAATGTACGTGCAGTTTGGTTGAGATTAGGCATTTCCATTGGCTATTATAGAATAATCCACTTCTTTAGTAATGTAGTCCACTCCACTTTTCTGCATCTGGCTGAATGTGAGCAGGCAGTATTGTACTGTATGCTTCAGATTTCCTCCTGCTGCTTCTGTCATCTGTCACTCTGTCATTTATCATTAATAAATGCTAGTGACTCAGAGCTTTTAGAAGCCATCCATGCATGGATCACACTGCCTACACAGTTTTACTTTGGATTATGAGCAATTTATGATGTCTCCATACTTTTTTTCTTCCCATCACACTGGCACAGGTTAACCTACCCTTCAGCTGTCCAAACAATGCTATTCAGGAGCTGGTCTGGCTTTTCAGGTGATTTTATCACCACTTTGCAGCTTGTGATGAACACTGCTTTTTCTCTCATGACTAAATCCCCATGATCCTAAAATCATACAGCCCTATGGTCAATGGACTAGATTTTTTAGCTTTTTATGTTGTTGAAAGTGCTAGTTCATTTGTCCACTCCTAACATTCCCGCTATCTCTTTGATGCTTTGTTTTGATTTGCAAATTAAGGATAGGCCGCTTCTTTTGCATGGAGAGTACCTTTGAACTCATGTTGTGGGTTTACAGCCGTTGCCTCAAAATCCAAATACTACACTTGGAATATCTTATAACTGTCCACAAAACAGCTTCTGAGTGAATGATACAATTAGGTTTGGCCTCTTGGAAAAAAACTAAATTAAATCTAAAACACAAGGCTACATATAGGCTGTAATTCTTAAACGCTTCGTCCAATTTGGATGCAAATGACCTTGAATTAAAACTGTGTCTGCACTAAGCTTATCTTCATCACATAGCTAAAAATGAAATATGTTAAAAAAAAAAGCCCAAATAAGATTCACCAGCAACTAACAAGTAACCCTTCTTAAAATTTGTATCTACAAGTTCCCTCAGCCCCTCCCTCCTGTTCACTTGTTTGAAACGTACCTCTGTTGTTGAAAAATCAAAGCCATCTACCAGTAAATGAAATCATCTTCCTGCTGTCTTGAATAAACCCTGCTCACCATAATGCCTGTCACCATGCGTTCCCCCCTTACCTCTGTTATTGTACACTTTTCTCTTAAACCAGCGGCAGTAACATCTATACTTTAGAAGCCTGCAGCAGACCCCAACAATGTCAATAACTTTTAGTCTAGTGTATTTAAAATCCTAGTCTCTATTAGAATCACTGACACCTCTTTAAACTGGTTTCAATCCTCTCTCTCTCTGGCCTCACTTCAAATCCCACCCATTTCTAAATACTTCTAGTGTTCCTCAGGGATTTGTCCTAGGGCCTCGTCTATTTATCTCCCTCATCTTGGCCATATCTTCCATAAATTCAATATCAATTTCCAGGTTATGCTGATGACACCAGCTCTATCTGTCCACCAAATACTCCTTTGCTGTCCCACCCACATCCATCTGTGTTAGCTTCTAGGAAAATCCAGTTCTCCCCCAACTTTCTCAAACTGAACAGTGATGAAACTGATGTTCTCCTCATTCGCACCAACACCACCATTGACACCTCCTCAGTTTCTCTCTCTCCCATTCCCAGATTAAGAGTCTGTGTGTCATCCTTGACAGCACACTTTCCTTCCAAGCTCACATCAGTAGCGTCACTCCATCCTCATGACATTGATTGGCTCCATCCATCTTTCACACCGAACGGTATTCCTGTCCTAATTCACACCTTGGCTATATCTCTCACTGATTACTCCGAGTCCTGTCTCTTTGGTCTTCCTCTTATTGTTTATAGGATATTGTTGTTATCATCCTTGAACTGATCCGTAACTCTGCTGCTTGCATCATCACCAGAATTCAGTCCGTTGGTCACATCACACCTGTCCTTCAGCAGCGCTCAAGTTAAATATTGCACTAATTTCAATATTCTGTTCCTCAGTTTTAATGCCATTCTTAACCTTTCTTCACAGTACCTCTATGAGCCTCTGCACATCAACAAACCCATTCGCACTCTTACGGCTTACGGCCATACCACCCTGAGCACGCCCGATCTCGTCTGATCTCGGAAGCTAAGCATTTTTTTTTTTTTTTTACCTCTGATTTCTCGGATGGGAGCCCGCCTGGGAATACCAGGTGCTGTAAGCTTTGGAGTGGCTGTAGCTCAGGAGGTAGAGCAGGTTAGCTGCTGATCGGAAGGTTGGTGGTTCGATCCCTGGCTCCCCCAGTTTGCATGCCAGATATCCTTGGGCAAGATACTAACCCCGACTTGCTCTCTGATACATCCATCAGAGTATGAATGCTTATGAATGATAGTTAGAAAGCACTCACCGTATGGATAATAGTGCTTGTGTGAATGGGTGTGTGCGGCGTGTTGTATAGTGCTTTGAGTACTCCAGGAGAGTAGAAAAGCGCTATATAAGAACCAGTCCATTACCATTCACTCTCAAGTCTTTTTCTTCTATCCATCTCACTGTGGCATCCATCCACGTGACTACCATGGGATCTAGAGCCTTCAGCTGCTCTGGCCGACCCGTGGCTTCCCTCCCACCAGAGATCCATAACATAGACTCTCCCTCTGCTTTCAAATCCTGTCTCAAAATGCACCTCTATAAATTGGCATACTCATTATGATTACCTTCCACCTGTCATACAAATCTGTGTTCCTAATGATTTTATGTATTGTAAACTTGTTTTGTTGTTATCATGATTACTGGGCTCTAACTGTATGTTTGGAAACAAATATTCTCATTAGATGTTTCTCCGCAATCAAGCGAGTCCTGCTGACACAGAACCCGTCAGCCAGAAAGATGATGCAACTGAAGATTGTGTAACAAGAGCATAATGAATAAGAGGACTCAACATGGTGTCTGGAGTCATCAGCAGCAAGCAACAGCATGGTTTACATCAGTTCTCTTCAGTGACCCACCTCACAAGATGTTGCAGGCCCATTTGCCAGCTCTTCAGAGTGTAGCTCACAGTAAAATTTCCCTGTGGAGAAATCAGAGATAAAAAAAAATGTTAAAAAAACAAAACAAGAAAAGTTGAAATTTAGAGACAAGTGAACGCTAAAGAGGGAAACCCCTGCTGCTTTCTTAAATTATTCATCTCCTTTTAGTCTGAGTACAGACCCCTTTGAAAAGGGTCTCAGCGCAAATGATTAATTATACATATAAATAATTAAGCGGTGATTCACTTATAGGAGCAAAATCTGATCTTGGCTTTGAGAGAACAATCACAGTACTGATGCAAGAGCTGTTGAAAACATAGATATAAGCACTTTATACACAATAATACAGCATCAAGCAGTTTCACGGAGGAGTGCTAGATAGGCAAAAAGACAACAAAAGCGAAGGAGTTAGACCAGATATGGACGAAAGCTGCCTCTTTGACAGTAATCACCAGCAAATACTCGAAGCTTCAGTCAGCGTGGGGCGGATATCTAATATTTGATTCTATAACAGCTTTGAGAGAAAAAAAAAACAACACTTTATAATGATAGTTGCTGTAGCGTTACTCTAGAGTGAAGAATAAGACGTTAATCTGTGGTTTTAGCTAAGATGGTATATACACCTATAGGTAGAGCGACAGATATGGATATAGTTGAAAACTTGAGTATAGTCAAAATATAGAAATATATAAATTCCGCAACTAGGAGTCACCTGTATCTTGGTCAAAGGTGTATCCTCCTAGCCTAAGTGTGATGTTGCATCGAGCGCAGGTGAAGCAGGTCCGATGGAAGAACTTTCCCTCAGCACTGATTCGCTCCAGCAGATAAACCCTTTCACCACAGAAGTAACACTCCTCACTGTTTGTCATCAGCGCAGGAGTATCCGGCTCAGGAGCCACCTCGGCGACAGGATCGAGCTCAGAGGAGACGGGAGATGCTAATGTCTGAGGAAAAAGGTCAGACAGCAGACTGAGATTTAACAACAGAGCACGATGATTTTTAAAGATCAGTATCATGCAGAAAGCTTGCATAGTCCAGCACGAGTTGTTGAATCACACTCACACTGTCCTCATCTCCCATTCTTGTCGCTGTTCCAGTGGCTTGTTTGTTAGCTGCCAGCTTTTCCTGCAGAGAAAATAAAATAAACTACCACATGACCTGATTTTGTTGAGGATATCGAGAACAGTTGCAAAACAAACATGATTAAACAATATCAAGGAGTAGAACAGCAAAAGCCACTTCCTCTGAATTAACATCTAACATCTTGTCATCACAAACAGGAATCCCAGACAAAGCAGACATGTGAGTCACCAACAGCTCGAGAACACAGACCGAAGGCCCCGGAGTGAACTCCAGCCAACAAGCTAGTGTGTTTGAAAATATCTTTATCAAAGATTCCTCCGTGCTGTGTAAACAGTGAACTCAAGGCTCAGTGGGCGTACCTTACGTCTTTGCAGAGAGTTGTGCTTCAGCTTGCTCAGGAAAAAGACAGCTGACTGTGTCCGGGAGAAAGACAGAGACTTGGACGATGGCTGGAAGCCTGTGGGCTCTGTTGCCAACAGAAAATACAAAAATGCAAAATGTCAAAGAGGGACACACAGCAAAATCATCTTAAATTAGACTAGAATGCTAATATAAAGACACCTGAATGTGAGTGTTGGCCTACTTGCAGCTCTTCAATACAGCTGCCCAGTATATTCTTAGGGCACCGTTTTAAAAATTGTCTCTATCAGAAATATGACAAATCAGTCTTAGTTGAATTTTCAGTGGCGTCACATCAAGCAGCAGTTGGATTTAACTTGTCAATCTACATAAAAAAAACTCTTCAGCTGCAGTTCTGACTATCACCCCCACTCTTTCATCATTCAGATAAGGTTACCCAAGACTGACAGCTCCCTGCTGTCTGCACATCAGTCAGCGGAGCACAAGCACAGCATCACAGAGTATATCACACCCACCTCAGCTCATTCAGTACCTCCAAAGGCTGAGCTCACATCTACACTGAATAAGTCCACATACTGAAAAAAGAAACTGTACGTGTACCTCTACAAAAAGCCAGGGGAAACCCTTCCTTCAGCGCAAGAAAAGCAGAACCCCTTCTAGAGGCGCTGCTCACATCAGACCCCCGATAAGTCAGCTCTACACGATGACTGATCTGTCTGCTGCTGGGCTGGCTCAAGTGCAGGAGAGGAGCACAACCAGTAGAGGCTGGCTCTGAGCACAGCACTAGCCACTTAAGCCAAATGAATTCTGGGTAATATGCTTCTTAAAGGGGTAGCACTGATTTGAACGTTTCTTGAACATTTTTCAGTGGGAGGACACCTGAACCTTTTAAGGTGATTCTAATGCTGCGCTGTGTCTAGGCAACAGAGTTATGTAAGACTGATATTGCTGTCACTAATAGCTACTAATATATACTACATATATATATATATATATATAAATATATTTATAAAATATAAGCTTATATTTAAAGAGACGTTCGATGGACTGTGGAATTTTGCAAATGCACTGATTAAATTTGACTTTCTTAATATTTGCATAGATGATAAATGTCATAGTTTTGTATGTGTGTGTGTGTGTGTATGAATGTGGGTTGATTGATTTCTTTATTCTAAAACTTTCACCTTTTTTTGGTAAAGCGAAACCGCTTTGGATCTGGGTGAGGTAAAGAACCATGGTCAACTTGTCTATGTGATCAGTGTTAGCCAGGCTGTTGGGAGACATGACAGGGGGGATGCCCAGCTCCTTCTCCAGGATACTGAAGGCCAGTTGGTTGTTGTGAACACAATTAGACTCATCCAGGGAGGACATATCACTTGGAAGGAATGAGAAAACAGCAAAGACGGTTTGTTACATTGATTAGATAATGATTGATTGATTAGAAAATCAAAGCACTCTTGTACTGCCGAACAAAAACTAAGCAGGAACTCACATGAGGTCAGGTCTGAAGTGGTGGATCAGAGCACACAGAGCCAAACCGGACCTCCAGGACCGTGTAAAGTCTTTTACATTCACATTTTTATAACCAGCAGTGTGTTTCTGACACCATTTCAATAGCTCCTCAGAACCGCCAGCTGAATCTGGGACAGCAATAAACCAGACAATAAATCAGAGAAACCTCTAATAGCTTTTGCAGTTGCATATTTCATGCCAATGCTAATCGCAATCGTGTTTCCCGGTTCATTTAGCAAGACCAGGAAAGAATAACCAGAATAACCAGAATAACCGCTAAAGGAGTCGCTGACCTTGACGCATGTGAAGTGAACTCTCCTTTTGTTTCTTGAACGACGGATGAGTTTTTTCAACATCGTACAGGTGCTGCACCTAAGTTGAGTGACCGGTACATACAAAGAAGATGGAGTCAATAAATCAACATTTAACCTGTTTAGTTCACATAGATCTATTTGTTTAACACAGCAGATGCATTGACTAGAAGCCGAGGTCTGATAAACTGCTCTCATCAATTTTCACGTTTCATTTCTTAACACAGCTTTGCTTTGAAGAGCACTTGAAGAAGGTACTAGACTGTTTTCTGCCTCCCTAAATGAACTTTAGGATGAAGGCTTTAAGAAATCTTTATTTCTTAAAAGCTTTATTTCAATCTCTGTTGACTAAATAAAAGATAACACCACTAACCTGATGGGTCTGGATGGAGGACAAGTTAACTCTTTGGTACCGTGTTCTGGGGTCGATGCTGTAAGCAGCATACTTTTTGCTGGTGTTCTCTGGTGTTGTTTGGGACAGGAGCTGGTAGAGGCTTTCACTGCATATTTGTAAAGACAAATAAAACCAAAAACAATCAACAACTGTAGTATATTGCAAGTAAGGGATAATTACTGGTTAACTGCCTCTGACATTGTCCATTTTTAGCTGATCTGCAGGTACACACCCTTATTTTTTTAACACTTTGTTGCCAAAGGATGGTATTTTATGAGGAAATAAGCTAAAAGTTCCTTTATTATGTAATTCAAGTTTTAAAATCCACACGAACATTTATCACTAAAAGCCTAATTGTTTTATTTTGGTCACATCAAGGACTCCTGCTGAAATAATAATAATGCTTATGCAATCAGAACAACTATCCATCACGCTGATTATGTCAGGATGGGTAGTGTTGCTGAGGATGAGACCCACAGGCAGGCTGACAAATTCTAGTGCGACATTTCTCTACTTTATTCAGTAGTTTTCAGTCAATGTGATGTATTCCTTTAAAAGTTTAACGTAATTTCCCTGTGACAAAAAATTACATTAATATTAGAACTGTAGTCTTTGCTGTAAGGAAACAAAAAGTAAAGCTTTCTTTTAATAAACATTCAGTGTAAGAAGTAAACAAGCTGGCAGCAACTGCATTAGCAAATCTAATCTCAAAATGTGAGATCATGAAATAAAACCGTGTGCAGATTATTAGCTGTATAAAATGTACTTACCGCTCAGCCAGGACTTTGAGATGTGGGACCCCATTACCCCAGCTCCTGACCATCCATGCTGCATCGAAAGCAGCAAAGAACCCACGAGCGATGCCTGTACCCAGAGGCCAGAAAGGCTGCAGAGAACACGCACTTAATGTCACTTTGTAACAAAAAATGTCACTTTATCAATTAATTAATAGTAAATGGAGTATGCCGTGTCATCAACCACAGAAATATGTTAACCGTAAAAGCCTGTGTGGTGTAAAATGAAACATCCTGTCAACCTTATTTTGAGAAAACTTCATGCAGAGGCTTATCTAGTCAGGCAGACGCAGGGTGAGTAGACACGTTAGACTGTGCTTCCTGCAAAAACATCAGCTTGCTAAAGCACTAAAAATGACGGTGCTAATTTTTAGTGTCAGAGTCAGCGCACTCACGCACCATTATAATCGTTATATGGTCAACACTGTTGTTAAGATTATGAGTGTAAAAATAATTGCTTCATGCTCATCTAAACACATAGTTTCATGCATTTCTTTCCCCACGCTAGGTATAAAAATCAGACCCTGATGATGTCAGTGAGACTGGATATCACTAATATGAGGACATCTCTGGCCACAACCCCAAAAATCTGCTGTTTAAAATTTTGTGAAGGGCATCCAATTAAAAAGTTGGCTCAAACAAAGGGCGGCCTTAAAGGAAGAGGAGCTAAAACTACTTGTTTTAAATCGTGAATGATGCAAAACTTCTCTTGTAAAATCCCAAAATTCAAATAACTGTTGTGAAAATGAGCTTAATAAGATGCTTTTATTGATGTGTTAATTCACCAATTTGGTTCTTTGATTCTTTGATGTCTCCAATTGCCTTGCAATTTTCTGCAAGTTAACTAGAGGTTACTTTTATTTATTTTAGTTCCAGTGTTTCATTAACTGTATGGCATTAGGAAGCAGCATAATATAATTCAATACAATATTCTGTCCCACAGTTATCTAGCATTGTTAAGGATACGAATTAAGGGAAAAGACCCCAAATTGCTGCTCCCTACCTCCACTAGGCAGTCTCCAACAAGACCAATTAACAACTTCTTCCCTCTCCTCTCCTTGACCAGCGAGGCATTCTCAGCACGGTGCATGCAGGTGAAGTCGAACATCGCCACATCCCGCTGGCCGGCGTGATTCTGAGCAAACTGGAGGTCAGGCAGTCGGCCGCCAGTGGAGAAGTCGGCAGCATCACACGCATAGTTGCACAAAGCCTCGTAATCCACATTTGCAGGGGCCAGCAGCTGTTCTGCATCATTATGATCCTGCAGATATAGAGGGAGAAGTGTATCGGACGACTTCTGGCACCTTCACTTACACAGATGACATGTCTTACACTTGGTTTGCCGCATTAGCTGAGGGGCCAGGCAGCAGAGAAAGAAGAGATGACTGACAGTTTTTAGTGTCGCTACATTGAAGCAGCAGCAGGGCTGTGTCATCTACGTGGTTTGTTTCTTTTTCTTTACTGGCCAGAGATAGAGCTCGTGCCAATAAGAATCACACTTTTCCTCAGTAATAGATGTGTTATTCTCACCTGTTTAATGACCCCTTTCTTTAACAAGCTCTTCTTTTTGGCAGTCATGACAAAGTAGTGGGTGTCGTCTTTGTAGTAGACAATATTCTCCAAATCAATACCTGGAACGGAGAATGGAGAGAGAAAGTATGGAGGAGAGGTTGAATGAGGTAAGCTGAAAGCAAAAGCATTTCTGCAGTTTCTCTCAGTGCCATATTTCTCTCAATAGAATGTTTGCTATTCTCTTTTGGTTTAACCACTTTGAAAATGTGAGAGCTTATTGGCCTACACAGGGAAAGTCAGTGTGGATTGATTAGACAGTCATTCAAAGGGGTGTGAGCACAGCAAACACAGTTCAGTTCCTCTAAAGCGTTTCACTGATATGAAAGTGCAGTAGATATAAATTAGCTCAGAGGATTCAGGCAGGTTAACCAATAGTTAACAATCTGACAGGAAATTAGATGAGGTTCGAAACGCAGATTAACAGCACTGCTGTTTGTTTCACACTTCACGCTGAACCCGAAGCAGCAGTGTGAACATTTATTTCATGCCTTGAGGCTTGCATTCAGCAAGGCGCGACAAAGGAAAAATTTAATGAAAATAAAAGCACTCATGTTGTTATTAAAAATATTCTGGTTCAGTGACTCAGCTTAGTGAACGCTGCGGAGTAAAACAAGTTAATCCGAAGCCAGCGATTTTCTCTTTTCTTGCTTTAATTTTTAAACATTATACTATAAATAAGAGCAGACAGCTGCTTCACTGCAAATTAAGATGTCCTCCTCTTTTTTTGCCAAACATCACTGCAGATGTCACAGGGATGCCTACCAGTCTCATTGAGTAGCTCTTGGAAAAACTTCTGGTTATAGATGCGGGCTACACCACTGATCTCCTCTACTTGGGTCTCAGCAGCTGTGTGTCTGTTGATGAAATTGGCCGTGATGCCGATCGCCAGTTTTCCTCGCAGCTCTTTGTGCTTGAACCCTGAGAGTTTGGGTAAGAAGAAAAACAGGAAACTTAGCTGATGAAATGCTACATTTTGAAAAAGACTGCTGGGGTAAATTTGGATTGTGCGTAATAACTATGTGTATCAACTAGGCCTTGTGAAATTGCTTAGTAGCCCTTGTTGCATCAGTGGGAAATGAAAGTATTCAAGCATGCATAAGTATTTGTCTCACCATCAGGGACAAACCTGCCTCCCCCAGCAGAGATGAAGACATCAAACTGGAAGGCTGCGGCAGGATGAGACCGGGGCTGCAGTTTTGCCATCCAACCTGTCAGAAACACATCAAACTTTTATGTTCTGCACCTCAGCGGATTTCATCACAAGTTTACTGCTTTACATGTTGGTGGTCTATGAATATTTCCAGTTTTGAGAAACAACAACAACAGTGGATAAAGCAAGCAAACTTAATAGGGAGGATGATGAGGATGGTTGTTAAACGCACATACCATTTTCTCCTGAGGGCTCAATCAAACCCTGGAACTCCACTCCAGTGTGCACCTCTACCCCGAGGAGGAGTGCCACCTTCAATAGAATCAACTGCAGCTGACGGATGCCTAAAAATATATGTGGGTGTCATGAGAAATGTGTGTGTAGCATAACCAAAATGCTACAAATACTATCAGTCGTGCACAGATTAAAAATGGTTGCTAATATTGCAATTCTCTCTTTAAAAACTCTTCTGTTAAGGAAATTCAGTAATGTGATGTCTGAAATTTGCTCGTGCTGACCTACCAGAACTTAAAGGTAATAAAGCCATAAAACATGAATGACAGAAAAATACAGAAATTGTGAATCTGAGAGCCCATTTTGTTTGATTAGCAACGATTAAGTGAAAAAAACAACTACACGGTTGAAATTTGAGATTGTATCATGTAATACTAAAAGTATGGGAGCCCCATAAACAATGATAATGCAGTGAGTTTATTTAATTCATTTCAGACTGGCTCAAAACGGTTTTATATATAGACTCTCACTCCAATAACTGACTGAGGCACTCACTGATGTGATCCAGAGAGCCAGAGCAGAATTTGCCATAGAACTTTTTGGCTCCGAGCTCGCGGAGGTCATAGATGGTGTAGGGCCACAGATGGAGAACATTGTTTCTGGAGAATGTCTCCCGCTTCTCCAGCAACACCACCTGAGCCCCCAGCAGGGACAGTTCAATGGCCACTCTCAGGCCACATGGACCAGCACCCAGCACGAGGCACTAGGAGAGAGGAAATCAGCAAACCCTCAGCATGGACGCGATAATAAAACATTTTTAAAGCAAAAGGTGAGGACAAACGAGAACAATTTTAAGCTGCTCTTGAAGGACAATTAGTATAAAGCCATTTGATGACTGTGAGAGTGTCATGAATTATATATAAAGGGCAAACATTTAACAAGAAATTAAAGGGAAGAGATGCAAAAAACCCACAGAGTCACAGCCCACAATCAAATATGACATCTGAATTGAAAATAAATTGTAGTTTGATGGCTGCAGTTATCGATCCGCAAGTGCAGCAAAGGTTCTTGGAAAGGAAAAAGCACTTATAGATAATCTGTATGATCTTTTTAACAACTTTTTTTGTTATAGTTTTAGGCATAGAATGTTTTCTATAAAAGTAAGGAAACACCATTATTATCACAGGTTGATACATTTATGTTCTGACTAAAATAAATGCATCAAAAAAGCATTCAATGAAGATTAAAATACACAAAGTTGAGAAAGATAAATGTCATAAAATGCCAGAAAGTCTTCGTGGACAGCAGTACTCATGGCCTAACCTAATCGATTAATGATCCACATGTTGCAAACGCTCTTGCAAATTTAACCTACTCGAGTCGAATTTTAACTTTCTATAATGAGCCACGACATAAATGGATAAACTTCCTCTACTAATGAAGATTCTGTGACACGATCCAATCTCTGGAAAAGCTACGAGACGTGATTTAACTCTTTTAATGTAGCTGCGATTAAAGAGGAATCTCTATCATGCAAGTAGTAGAACCACAATCTCAACTTCTTACATCAAAATCTTTTAACTTTTGAAAATGACAATAAATGACCTTTAGTTGTCTGTACCTTGTTTTTAGTGCAGACCTTTCCTTGCTGATAATCTTCATGAGAAGCTCTTTTATCAAGCTTGGTCCACAAAGCTTTGGCCTTCCAGTAGTTCAGTCTTTCTTTTAACTTTGCGTAGAAGCTCCCGAAATCCTCCGGATCGATCTCCAGCTGCCTGCAGAGCTGAGTGAAATGGTGCTTTACATCCTTACAGGTCTGGGCTTGGACAAAGAGGTCAAACGTAGCATGTGAAGGGTTGACAGGACCTTGGCTCGCCATAGCTGAGGATGTCAAGAAGACCAGTTCCTTTTGGTCACTGGGTTGGGTAGCTGTGAAAGAAGAAATTATATCGTGACATCATCTTTTCCTACCTGGAAGTAACACCTCCTCGGGATAGGTTCATGTAAATGATCAAACGTTTTCCCACTGTTTACAGCCTTTGTTGCTGTAATTTTTAGAGGTGGTCCAGTTATGTAAAACTCCTACATGCCTTGTTGTGGGAATTTCCCTCCTCGTGTGCGCTTAATTATAGTCCAGATGTTTGAACACTGATGGCTTTATGTCACCTGGTTGGCTGAGTCATTACTAACTTCCTCCATGGGGCCCCTGTGGCTCTCTCTATCTTTCTTTTTACAACCAAACAGCCCGCCCACAGCTGATGTGTCATTCTCACATGCAGTCTCAGGAAATTTACTTGCTTGTAAGAAAGAGGACACAGTGTAATAGAAACATGTGGCTAAAACACATGTTTTATATGCTTACTTTTCAGTAAACAAAAGGGGTGAAAATTAATATGTAATGTTATACTCAGCTAATCTGTTGATTCTTTTGCTATTAATTGATGACGGGTAGTTAAAAACACATGGTGGGCAGGGCCTACTCCGAAGATCTTGTTTTGTCTGCCTAACAGTTCAAAGTCCAAAGATATTTTATAATATGATCAAATAAAGTATGGGAAAAGGAAAGGCAGTAGACAACAAACTCACATTAACAATCTGGCATTTCAAGCACGGTTTCCTGTGTTTGGTCTGCTGGTAATTCTTTTGTCCTAACCCTGGCAAAACCAAGTTATATACAACTATTTCTTTTTAGGACAGACATGCTTCAGTGATGTCATATGGTTCAAAGAAAAGTGACCAACAAGAGAAGATGAAACATAAATCGAATATAAGAGAACGATAATGGCCTAGATTTTGACTTCTGAAGAATCTTAGCAATTAAAGAAATATGCCCGTGGATCTTTTTTCAACCTTACATCTCTGGTTGCAAGTCATGCACAGCGTTGCGTGAATATGGGCCTGTGAGGGGAGGACCTAACTAAGAACACGGAAACCACATTTCTGTACTATATTACTGCAGATGTAACAGTGAGTACAAAGAGTACAGCTATAGGTTTTCAACACCATCTGACCCTAGTGTCTATCAGATGAAGCCTCTACGATGTGTGTAGAACAAAAGAATGTTAAAAGGAACAGTAAACTCCTAAACAATGCATGTCTCATTGTGGGAAATATTTGGTTTAAAATAGGAGCTATGAGCTCATATATTCTCGGTCAACATTTACCCAATGTTGGCAAAGATTGTTGACTAACCTAAAATTAGTGGCACTCCTAGCAACATGCTAATCTTTTAAGTCAACAGCATCCTTAAGCAACAAATACAATGTTTGAAAGGTGAATTCTGAAAATTTACCACAAGTTAACGCTTTCCTAACAGCAAGCTGAAGAAAATGCAGATGACACCAAAAGTGTGAGGCTGACATTTCCTGTAACTATCACTGTATCATTTACTGGTATTTACGCTTCTCTTCTGTAAAGTTGTCAGCTCTTGCCCTCCACCTGAGACAAAGTCTTTCATTATAGAGAGTACACCTGCATGCTTTGCATGACTGCCCCCGTATGCGTGTGAACACAACTGCATTTTAGCTTTTCCTAAGGCCAACATTCCCGTCCTCACATTTTACTACAGTTTCCTGAAAATGGGCATCAAAACGAGGCAGCTTTTGCGTCCATATGACAAGATGCTAAAAAATTTTAAATAAATCACTCCTCTTATTCTGTTTATTGACTTAATGCTTGTTACTGTGCAGGACAGTTTTCAGTCACTAAAGAGATATCACAACCTGCCATAAACACAAAGATAAACAGTTGTGTTGGTGTGTTAGATAAACCTCCATGGAGATGCAAAACACTAGCTTCAACGAAAAAGGCACAATGCAAATGAAAAAAACAAAAACAGCTCTTGTTCAACTAAAATATCTAACGGTATATTTTTACTTTAATACTCGAATGTTTAACTTGTTACATAGTTTAGAAATATTTATTATTTTTACCCTTTTTGCATTTTATGTAGATTTTAACTTTATTTTCTATTTTCTATGATTTATTAAACCTTAGTACTTTATGTAATATTTTGGCGGCTTTAACGCAGGAATTTTCCAATTACACCTTATATCATCTTATCTTATTTTATTATATACAGCTATCGACCATATATGTGTATATAATACCCTGTGTGTTTCACTCTCTGTGTATTTACACACCAGTCAGTGTTTAATCATTAGTTATAGTTAATCTCTGGCTCTTTTTCTCAGCGTGTCTTTTTTCCTGTCTCCCTGCCCTCACCGCCAACCGGTCGTAGCAGATGGCCGCCCCTCCCTGAGCCTGGTTCTGTTGAAGGTTTCTACCTTTATAAAAGGAGACATTCCTTTCCCACTGTAATCAAGTGCTTATACAATATTAAGTTCCTTGAGTTGAGTGTTGTTGTAATTTGGCGCTATATAAATATAACTGAATTGAACTGACAAGAATACACAGCTACAGGCTATATATAGCAGACACATATGACTTGGTGATTATTTGTCTCCAAGCAGGCTATGAAGTGAACCACTCCTCCCATTAAAAACAGAACATTTAAGAAGAGTGAGGTACTCTTTGAAGACAAAATAAACTGTCAAATCTAAAAACTTAAAATAGCTCACACGGCCGACTTGATACTTTGATCTAATTCTCAGGGAGGCTGCTGTTTTTATAATCTGTTGTCATGTTCTTTTTTTTCCCTTCTTAAACATGTAAAACTGCACAGCTGAAACCACAAGCCCACAGACATATTTCCTTTTTGTAAGTGTTGCAATGTTAAAAAAGAAAATATTCTCACACTAAAATACAAGTTTAAGAATGGCCACGCGAAAAGAAGTGTCATCTGTGACAAAGGTAAGACAACACACAACCACCACCATCATCATCTGACTTCTGTTAAGCAATTCTAGGCAAGAAGCAAGTCTTCTCAGGAATGTTGTTGCTGACAGCATGATCAGACAGAAAATAACAGGACTGAAAGGTAATTTGACCTAATTTCACTCACTGCCAGTGGATTGGATTCGAGTGGATTGACCCACCTTATTTAACGTGTAAGCTCTGTGCACTTTGTTTGGCAGCAACGCTGTGTTTTATCAGACTCGTGGATGGATCATATTCTCTTGTCCAGCCTGGCAGGTTTACAGAAGGACATAAAAGAAGAGAAAGAGAAAGGAGAATGAGTGACGCGAAGAAGACGTGAGAGGAAACAGAGAGATTATTTCCTGGACACGTATCTAGACTTTGTGCTGGCATTTTTTTTTAATACTTATGATCTCACAATCATAGGAAACTGTTAAATGAGCAGGCGTGGCACTGATCGCGTTCTGCTATGCCAAAGCAGGATGCAGTCCCAACATGTTACTGTATGCAAGCAACCAGATTGCAAACTGCACCCTTAAACAGGAGCTGACTTAAGTTCAGAGAAAATATATCTTATAGAGCTGCATCATAAAAACTAAATGATTTAATTGGGTGTTTTATGATGGAAGAGAATTTTAAAAGATACGCTTCAGACAGCAGCACGTAATGACCTACACAATCAATCAATAAACTTGAAAACTTATAGAAAAAGTACCCGCCTCAGAGATCGAGAGGGGGAAAAATACAGGCACAATATACAACATTACATTACCAGCTCTGAGGTCGACCTAGAAGCGGGTTTCCTTGAAACTGTGTCCATGCTGTCGCTCCCATTTTTTCGTTTTTTTTTCTCCTTTGGTTACAGGTAAGGACGTGGACTGCCTCACCTGCACCTCGCGCCCGCACTACACTAGTGGAGCCTCTTCCGGGACATTCTGTAAAGCTACACACAGCGCGAGCCCCACGTGACGAGCTGTGAGGCGATGCACGCGGACGACACATTCTGTGATCACAGCTCAGTATTCATGTTAATACTGCCATAATAATAATAATAATAACAACAATAATAATAATAATCCAATTATACTTGTGAAACATGTCATCAGTGGGTTTTACACGTTAAGAAAATGCATAGAGCAACCATATCGTGAAACAATGTTTAATGTCAAAGAAGAACTTGGACTCAATTTATTTAACTTGAATATTTCCAACTTTCTACTCCTACTTTATTCTCTTTTACAAGGGAAAAGAAACAAATAAAAGGACACTTGAAAATACATTAATTACAACTTCTACCATTACTTCATAATGGCACGGATAATGTAGGCTACATAGTCCCCCATATATAAAATACTCGAAAGATCTTGGCGACTGCGACAGGAATCCGTATGCATACGGAATAAATATGCATTCTCATTCCGTATGTATACGGGAGCAGGCGAAATAAGCTTCTTGTGCTATATCTATCAAATTATTTTACTTAATTATTTGACTCTATCTGTTAGCCCTACATCTGACTGGCGACCTGTCCATGGTGCACTGTGACTTGTTTGGTATTTAGTATGACCACCTTTATTGATTAACTCTCCTGAACTCTCTCAGGCAAGCTGTCTTGTAGTTTCTTTAAGTAGTCATTAGGAATAATTCTCTTGGCTTCTTGAAGGACATTCAAAGCTCATAAATAGATGTTTTGTTGTCTATCAAGATGACCCCCTAGTACTTCAGTAGTGTTGAGGTCTGAGCCCTTTGGAGGCCAATCAAAGGCTGATAATCTTCCATTATTTGTTGTTGAATCCAGGTTTGGGATCATTTTCCAGCTGAAACAATGAAGCCACTGCCAATCAGACTAGATGACAGATTTCTAACAATTTTGAGAAGATCCCCAACACCACTGGTTGAAATGCATCTGTAAGACATGTTTTTGATGAGGATTCAGTGGACAGTAGATGGAAGCACTGAAGGGCGAAATGCATATCTCAGGTCCAGTGTCAGTTCTTTGCTGGGATTTTTCCAGTTTCTTAAGGACATGACTTTTAGATACCATTCACCTTTTGTACAGACAGACTGTACACCATACTGAGATATGCCTTTTTTTTTTCTTTTTCTTTTTTTTGCTAAAAATCTTCAGGAATCACATTGCTGGTTCAAAAAAATTTATGCCTGTCAAACTGTATTATCTTTGGTATTTTTTCATTGATTCAATTAAACAAATGGGAACAAGTTACGTGCTCTTGTGACAGGAATCTACTAACAAAATGCCTAAAGATACAATTTTGGTTAGCTGTCAAGTTGTTATGTGTAGACACAATACCGGTTCATCCCGTGAGTTAGGCGTCTATTTTAGGCTTGAATGATTCAGCTCATTGTTAAGTGGCACAATAAACAAAAAAACATTCCTCTTAAAATATTCAGGTACAAGGACTAGACTGAAAATGAGTGAAAAACCAGACAAGATATGCAGAGAAAAACTTTGAAAGAACTATTGCTTAAAAGCACTTTAAAAATCAAGAAAAAATGTGGCTCCTTGGAAACAAAATATGAAGAAATAAAGACTATGCAAAAGTCTTGTAATTAGACTATTTATATGTAGATAAAAAAAATTGACACTACTGTTCGTTGCATGTCGCTATAAATATGCTTTCAAATCTTTTTCTAGGTCAATGGAAGATTACCTTTGTGTCTTAGAAAAGGATAATCAAGTATTTTGTGTACATTACTGCTTTGTGTGAGTATGTTTTTCTTTCTTTTTTAAAGAAGCATTTGTTCAGTTAATAAACAAAAGCGCGTGTCATAGGCAGTATACAAATTTTATTCAAATTTGAACCGTAATCAGTAGGATTTAACAAAGAGTTATTTATGAGAAAATTCCCATTGGATACAGTAGAAAAAGAGTATATATAGGAATATCACTGATTTTAAAATATCTGCATAGCCAGAAAGGAGACCCACAGAACCCCACAGGAAATGTCCTTGGCTTATTAGCAAGGCTGCATACTGACTATATGATCTTTTTCATGCACTTTATCCATATTTTTGCTCAAACATTCAATGAGACAGCAGGAAAAGGGAACGATGCAAACAACCCAACTACACCTGCAGGCCATTGCATTCTTTATCCGTGCAACACAGCAGATGTAACACAGATATCAAGCTCCTATTCGTGGCAGCTGCATCATCCTTTTGCGTGGAGTTACTCAGCCTTAACCAGCAGTGCTTTGGGAAATCCCGGCTGGAGAGCCCACTCGAGGAACAACAGAAGGTGGCAGCACAACACTGTCAAACAGATTCATGAAAGCAATATGTCTGACAAGAATGACACGCGATTACCTGCTAATTTCTCAGCCTGTATAGCAGCATCAAAATGATCTAAAGGTCATCACGATGTAAACATTGTGGTATTGATTGTATTATGGGAAGCATCGATGCTGGTAGATTATCAGTATGTGGCGAGAAACAACTGGCACGTTAATGTTCATCTGAGAAAGGTTTCACAGAAATACGTGCACAAGAAACATACCTGTGCTCAGAAGTGTTGCAACTATGATTAATCTTATACTTTAAGATGTTATGTAACCCAGAAAAGTACCAGAAAGCAAAATAAACAATTGGGTTATTCTTTAAAGTAATAAATTATAAAGATATATACAAATATTATCATTAAGAATATTTACAATTAGGTTTCAAGAAGCCAATTTTTTTTTGTTATACCTGCCACCGTGGTCCTGGGAAAGCATTGTAGTCTGCCTCCTATAGGCATCAGGGAGGCATAACCATACTGCTGCTCGTTTATCATATTCAATAAGAACACAATGACAATATCTCCAGTGTAACATTGTCCGAAAACTTGCACTCATTAGTGAAATACTACTGCTGGTTAAAAATCGTCTTCATATCCATGAAGTTGAGAACTGCGCGGGGACATTCACCTGATTTTAATGCGAATGCTTGAAAGTAAATCTACAGATTAAAATGCATGCTGGTGATCCAATTGTGATCCAAAAGTGTACACAGATGCAGGATCTCACAAACAGTGGATTATCCTTTAAGAAGAACAGAACAGCATAACCTCTGTTTAGATAACACAAGCTTCATTGTAAGAAAAGTCCGGAGTATTAAAATACACTTTTACACAGTAGAAGAGAGTAAAAAAGACATTTTTCATTGGCACAAAAATCCTCACAGAAGAATTCTTGTTTTCTCCATCCTGAGATGATCTTTAGTGATCAGTAGCCATTTATCTTTATAGATTAAGAAAAGTCACAATTAGCAAATAGAGACAGGGACGGCCTCTTTTCTTCTTTGCGTTGAGCTGTATGTTGGTCACAGCAATAACTCAATTAGTCCAGCTGGTGAAAGAGACTTTCACATCACAAAATCTCACAGCAATCCAGAAACAAGCCTCAATGTTGCACAGGGGAAGTGTGGTGCTAAAAACTGAAGTATTACCATAGAAAATTTCCAGTTAATCCAGGTATAATAGCAAATTCTTTTTAAAGAGATCGATAATATCTTAAAATTTGATGTTGGTACCACATAGATGCTTCTTGAGCAGAAAAATGGAAGACGGCGTCTGAGCGTGTGCGTTTCAAAGGGGATCCCAAAGAAAATGTGGCGAAAAGAGACATCCTGTTGTAACCAATAAACTTAACTCTCTGGACACCCACCCATGTTTGACTGATATGCTGTCTTGTAGGCCATGTTGTGTAATTGATGGTGATAATTATAAGATCAGTCAGGAGAAATAACATAGGAAGAACCCACGAGGAAGGCTTATTAGGACACCTTACAAACACATAAAAGGAAGACACACCTCTTTGCCTGTTTTGGGTTGTTGAAAAATAATACCATACCTTGAAAACAGTCTCTCAAACTGGAAATGTTGGAGAGACTTTGGAAAGACTGGATTTTGCTGATTGGTTTGATGTCACTCAGAATCAATGATTGTACCCAAATATGTGTCAGTTCTTTGCCCCACTGGACAAAAAACCCCCCAAAAAACACAACCGCCCCATACACAATTATCCATGCACTTTAAAGACGATGCACATGCTCAGTTATGCACATCCATACTGTGTGCACAGATATGTTGCCAGCTTGGTTACAGGTTCTCTCCTGGCTGGTACTGAGGCTCTGTGGAGGTAAAGTAATCCTCCAGGAAGCCCTGCAGGTACTCGAAAGTTGGCCTCTCCTCAGGTTCCTTCCTCCAGCAGCTCAGCATCAGCTCATGAAGGGATTCGGGGCACTCTGCTGGACACGGCATCCTATAACCACGCTCCACCTGGTCTAACACCTCCCGGTTCACCATACCTGGTAGAGAAAATAAAGCATTATGAAAGGTATGCAGCTGAAAAACTATATCCATAGTTGGAGTACTAAGTAAGACATCTTTATGCTATACACAGAATACAGAATTATTAGGTAAGTGTGTATTCTGATCTTTTTATTATTTTTATGCATATTTTACAATTATTTTCTTTCACTGAGTTATTAATAAAACTCCTAAGGGCTGACATTACAGCAGCACTTACTCTTAAGACACAAATTTTTTAACTTTTTCATATTTGTATGATGTCACAGAGCATTTAGAGAAGTCAACCAGCTCTTATTATGGCTGTCTTGCAAATCTTTCAGGTCACTCAGTCAGAAACCTTTCTGAGTGCATGCTAACTGATGCCCCCTAGTGGTTACACTTTTTATTTTTATTGTGAAGCAGCCAAACTCTACAGTCTTCCCATTTTTTATAAAAACACAAGACTATCAGAAACCCATTATTCTCTGGTGCCACGATATTCCAGAACTGGAACGCTGAAACACGACCACAAATCAATAAGATTGATACAATGAAGCATTAGGAGCGAGCCAAAAAATAATAATAATAAAAATAAATATAAACTAAGA